GAAACCCCTGGGCCCGCAAGCGCGAAGCCACCTCCGCTAGGGTAAATTGGGGGACCATGGCAGATGCAGGAACAATCTCTTGACCCCACTCGCCGATGAACCGACTGATTCGAAAGGCACCAGAGTCAACAATCGGCATGATATGAGGATCGTTGTATAGATGAAGTCTTTGAAGCAAGATACGGCGATAGTTGGGGAGCTGCACTTGGAAGCAACTCTACTTTTGGAGATGCTCAAGGCTATTCTAAGCATGATGTGCAACTCGAAAGCTCATCTCCTGCGCGGGGCTCACATCAATCGCACATCTTAATCGAGGTCAACTCATCTCGATTCCCCTTGTGAATAGTCAAGTGACCAACCAACGGTCAGAGAAGCCTCGTCCTTGGATTAATATCGCTTCTTATTCACCAGAGGTTCTCTCAACAGAGGCAACCTTGACCGCTCAGCTAGCTGATTGGTCTCGAACCCTCGACCCCCTAAACCACCTTATTTGGAAGAGGCATGGCATCGGCAACGTGAGCAAATGCCCCTTGGGCTGGTCGAACCCACGAGATTGCATCGTGCCCCGTGCTCCACAGCCTTCTCCTTTTCGTACATAACCCCGGCCAAATGCTGGGGTTTCTAGCGCTGTCAAGGCAATGATGGACATATTGCACCAACAATGGTCCACGTTCGGGACTGGGCGACTAACACCCCAGCTCATTTCATGAGGCACAGGGCACATGAGGACAGGCCAGGGACAGACGGGTACCTGAGTTTTGGCCTCTGAACGCCGCTATCGTGCATCATGTCAGGTACCATCTAAGCCGCTATTCTCAACTAGGGCCATCCTTTGTCAATGCCATGACCCTCTGGGGACTGCAGCCAAGGCAAAACAGACCGGGTTGCAGGTAGAGGCAATAACAGTCGATCTGCTCATAATATGCCGCTCTCCTCCTCTTTTCTCTGCTTTTCCTTTCCTTCACGGTTCCATACTTCGCGAATCTAGAGAGCATCTTGTTAATTTTCGCTTTCGTCCTCTCGTTTCCCTCTATTCCATTAACCGCTTCACTCTTTTAGCGGGCATTCGTTTCCTACGCCAACTACAACTCTTGCCTTTGCGTACAATACTTGAATTTTCGGAGCTTTTTTCAATATGAAGGGAGGACTTGCTGCTGCCGCCGTTGCGGCCATGGCTACTGGTGCTCAGGCCGCTTACCCTCACCACCGCCGAGCTCATGAGATGTTCCGACGTGGTGGAGAGGTCTGCGTACCTACCTGCACCACCATCTGGACTACGTACTATGGCGAGCCCACTCGTATGTTTACATCTCAATATCCTTATTAGAGAAGGATACACGCTAACCGCTGATTCAGTTGTCCCCAACCCTCCTTCTGCCCCCAAGCCCACCAAGGAGGCTGTCACCACTCATGAGGCTGTCAAGCCCAAGCCCACCACCGTCCATGAGGTTCCTACCTACGAGGCTCCCAAGCCCGTTGCTCCCACCACAACCAAGGTCGTCCCGGTCATCCCCGTCCCGACTCCGGAGGAGTACAAGTGCCCTACTCCCGGCACTTACACTTTCCCTGCCACTACCATGACCGTGACTGAGTCCACCACCGTCTGCGTTGGTGAGACCACCAAGGTCCCTGCTGGAACACACACAATGGGAGGTGTCACCACCATCGTTGAGACTGCCACCACCGTCACTTGCCCCTACGCCAAGGAGACCGAGCACGAGGGTGTCGTTACCAGTGTCATCGAGACCACCACCTATGTCTGCCCGTCTGCTGGCACTTACACCATTGCTCCTATCACCAAGACCTGCGAGGAGGAGACCGTCATCGTCTACCCTGTTCCTACCAGCTACGCTCCCGGTACTTACACCGCTCCCGAGCAGGTTGTTACTGTCACCGAGACCGACTACGTCTACGTCTGCCCTTACTCTCAGTCTGGCGTTCCCGCTACCACCAAGGCCCCCGAGGCCCCCAAGCCCCAGCCTCCTAAGGAGACCAAGCCTGTCTACGAGGCTCCCAAGCCCAAGCCCGAGATCACCAAGCAGGAGAAGCCTACCAAGCCTGTCTATGAGGTTCCCAGCAAGGTCCCCGAGACCCCCAAGGCCCCTGTTTACTCTGTCCCCGAGACTCCTGCTTCCACCAAGCCTGTCTATGAGAAGCCCTCCGAGGCTCCTAAGCCCAAGGCCCCCAAGAAGCCTTCCAGTCCCGGCAACCTGAAGGGTGGAAACGACCACTACGGTATCACCTACACCCCCTACGTCGCATCTACCGGTAAATGCAAGGGTGCCGACCAGGTTGACAAGGACATTGCTGCCCTCAAGCAGGCTGGTTTCCAGATCATCCGATCTTACTCTACTGACTGCGATACCCTCGAGACTGTTGCTCCCGCTTGCAAGAAGCACGGCATTGACATGATCGTTGGCGTTTTCGTCAAGGCCTCTGGCTGCACTTACGAGACCCCCGAGATCAAGGCTCAGGTTGACGCCTACGCCGAGTGGGCTCAGTGGGATCAGGTCAAGCTCTTCACCGTTGGTAACGAGGCTATCATGAACAAGTTCTGTTCTCCCCAGCAGCTCAAGGAGCTCGTCACCGTCGTCAAGGAGAAGTGCTCTGGTTATACCGGTCCTTACACCATCGCCGAGACCCTCGACATCTGGGAGCGTGAGGATGTTCAGGGTGCTATCTGCGACATTGTCGATGTCACCGGTGCCAACATCCACCCTTACTTCAACCCCAACACCACCCCTGACATGGCCGGTGAGTTCGTTGCTGGTCAGCTCGAGATCCTTCGTGGTATTTGCAAGGGCAACGATGTCATCAACCTGGAGTGTGGTTGGCCCTCAAGCGGTAACTGCAACGGCGCTGCCTGCCCTGGCAAGTCCGAGCAGGCTAAGGCTATCAAGTCTATCCGTGAGAGCTGCGGTGACAAGACCGTCTTCTTCTCCTTCGAGGATGATCTCTGGAAGGAGCCTGGTTCTTGCAACTGTGAGCGAAGCTGGGGTTGCGCCTCTTCTTTCACCGGCTACTAAGCAGTTCTGGAGACTCCAGTTCTGATTGCAGCATACCCAAGTGTCCTCTGTATGATTCAATCCTCGGAGCATGCTGAATGCTGTACATAATCATGACCAACATCGCCCGGCCATTCACTTCTTCTTTCTTCCTCGTGCAACCCTCTTCTCTTTTCTCGCCACCGTCCATGCGGTGATTCACATCATTGACATCCAGCAAGAGCCTTCAGGAATGGAGTCCGAAAGCCGACGGTCTTCTTTCTCTCAGGCCAACTCCAGACATCCGCCTCAGGGGCAATGCATCGTTGCGCGCGCGCATGGGCGCAATAGATTGAGGGAAACGAATCTGGTCGGGCGGTTGAGGACGACCTTCTTGATGAATCCTGTTTTTCTTCCACTGTTCAATCGACATGTGAACTCTTGTTACTATGTCATCTTTCCATATGTGTTATTTGCGGCAGCACTTCTTTACGGTAGACGCGTCTTTACGGCTCTTGAGCGATGGGGTAAGCGAAAGCCTTTTTTTTTTTTTTTGGGAGAGAGATGATCTGTATGTATGATCTATACTATAGCCGGGTTGTCATTCAGCCTCTGCTTCATAATGCTGTAATTCACTAGTATCTTCAGTTGTCATTGTGCTATGTCTCGTGAGTTATCGTATAGACAATCCTTCTAAGAGGCGTCTCATTCCAGTACGAACTAATAACCAACACCCCCACGTAATTACATTTCTAATTACCTAACATATCATAAACAAAAGCAGAGTGTTTAGGTTCATGGTGTATGTATCATGGCAGCCATTAAGGCGCCAATAACATCAGCGGCGGGTATAAGTGTGAGACATCCAGCCCTTTAACCACTAGAAGCTCCAAGAATAAAAGAGGAAGTGACTTTGCGAGCGTATCGATGACAGGCCCGAAGAGCTGGAACAGGAGGGTGTTATCAAAGCGATCAACGCCATGTCACAACCGTGCTTGATACACCAACGAGCAAGATATCGGTGCTACGTCCAGATCCGCTTTGCTTTCTTAACAGAGACTTATAATCATAAGAACAGATGATTAATAACAAGGAAAACGGACGTGACACTAATCAAAGGCAGCATAAAATAGTTTAATAGCTAATTCAAAAAGTCTCTTGTGAAGCTATCACAGTTTTAGCACAGCATTCAACTTGGCACACTTCTAAGATTCACCAACATTCTAGCGGTCAGGGGATAGATGAGACATGGTATATCTGGAATGGCAATGAAACTCGCGTGTCTCGGAGGCTGCACTTATATCGGCCATCGCCCGGTTCTTTGCGGAATTCATGAATGTCTCAGATCTGCAAGTGTGGAACATGCCTTGTACATTGATCAATATTGTCACTGAAATAGATGTGGCATGTAACCACCAAGGGAATAGAGAAAATGCAGACAATGACATCCAGATCAGGTAGGTGTCATTCTATATCATCTTCGCAAACTACATATACAGCTGACTTATACTTCACTTCTGAGTCCCAAAACTTGCCCACAAGTCCAGACTTTTCCCACCCACAATGTAAGAAAACCTAAGCTTCAAGAGCTTACTGATTATGTGTACCATATCCACAAAAATGAAGATCCCGTTGCCGATGTCCTGATATCTATAGTTTCCCGAAACAAACTGACCGGGCTCAGCCCTGAGCCCCCAGGATAATGATGGTGATAAAATAAGAAAGTGATGAATGAAGCCCATGATGAACAGCTCTGTAGTGAGGGGCTGTGTTGTTTTAGCCCTCAAATAAACCATTGCCGCCTATATAAAAGTGACGTGTCGTGAATGGTTAATGATGGTTTCTCAACAGATCATAGTATGATAAGCCAGAACAAAAGGGGGTATAATGCTAAGGAGAAAGATGCTTCGAATGAAGGGGAGTGACCAGCGGGGTCAAGCAAGTATAAGGATAATTTGTGAATCAAACGAAAACGCTTCGTGTGTCTGATTCGAAGGGAAGCCATCATGTATTGCTTTAGAAGATCGGTAAGGCGTCCGTCGAGACTGGAGTTCGACGATAGGATTCACCACGGTGTGTAAACTCATCGAATCGATAGCGCCATTCATCGGTTTCAGAATCGTGATAACGTTGCCAGGTATTGCGGAAATAGGGCTCAGCGGGACGGCCACATCGTTCAAGCTGGAGAAGGCCGCCACGATGATGGTCGCTCGCCAAGATATTGAGATCATGTCCGTCATTGGTAAATGCAACGCCGCCGATCTCGCCGAAGAAATCGACTGTTTGCTTCTGGGCAAAAGTCTGAGCATTAATGATGTTGACAAAGTCAGCCTCCTCGGCAGCAACGAGTACTCTTTGGCCACTACCGACGGGAGAGAAGCGCAGATTCCTCACACCAGCCATTTCGGATCTGATAGTGCACAGCGGTGTACTAACACCCCTCGAGTCACACCAACGGCGAGCATCCCAGACCTTGACGCCCTTGTCCTGGAAACCGGTGGCTACTGTCCAACCATCATCGGACCAATCACAGGCAAAACCATAGTCGCGGTGCCCGGACAGTTCCTGTTGAATCTCACCGGTATCGGCGTCGGTAATCAGTACTTTGAAATCATCCCCAACCATGACTCTCAAGCGGCCATCAGGTGAGATACGCGAACAGTTGAGTGGGAATCGATACCTGCTCTGCATCAAAAACTGCTGTGTAGAAAGGTCTAGAAGGCGGAATCCCTCGTCATTACTCGAAATGGCAGCAACAGGACCAGAAGATCGCCGGGGTTGGTAGATCTGGACATGGTTGGTGATACCTCCCATATGTGGAGTAATGACACCTTCTGCAAAGTCTTTATTGTCTTCAGAATCCAGGCTTTTAAGGTAGTATTCGCCATTGAAAGTTCCTGCAAACATGGCTCCGTGGTTTGCGTCAAGGGTAGAGATGAGAGCTCCCAGACCATGTATATGACTGTTGTTAAGTACGAGCTCTATTTTTCCTGTGACAGGGTTGATTCGGTTGATTCCCTTCCTACCAGGATAGTAGACCTCCGAGATTGATGGGCATGCTAGGACGCTCCGTAGCTGAAAATGAGCTAGGTAGACATCTTGACGGATAAGGAACCTCTTGAATCTCACAAAGCTTTGAGAGGGGGGGATAACTACGTCAGCCATGTGAGGCTAACTTCAGGTCAGCTGAGAAGACTCAATCGAAGGTAACCTGGTACTTACGCTCCATCTGTCTGAACCCTCCTTGTTGACATAATTCTTGAAAGTGGCACATCGTATTTGCCGCGCATACTTCCTGGTAGTGTTCATAGATGCCCAATCCAAGCCTTGCATGTCATAGTCATCGCCGTGAAGGTCCTTATACTGAACATCGCGGATGTGTGTATTTGCTTGACGGCGAATGTCTTCTGGACAGGGTGCGTTCACCCGCGAGGCGGATGGACAGGAGGAAGTACGAGCTTGGAATGCCCAGTGTCTCAAAAAGTCAACCAGGCACAAATTTTCAGACCCAAGCATAGTCGGGTTGGGGTTGCTAAGTAGTGGCAGGCCCAGTGGCCCTGCTAGCAAAGGAGGCGCATTATCCTCCAACGCAGCCGTGTCTTCGATTAAGGCAGCACCCCATGGCGCAGGAGGCGGAACCGCATTCATGATTAAGTCGTTGTCAACTATGTTGGGCGGATGGAAGGCGGCTTGCGAGAGATAGTTGGTTGGGTTATTGACAGGGGGTGATTCATCATTGTCCCCCTCAGATAGAATAGATTGGTCGTCTGTTAGTTGTTCAAGTTCGTCGAATGCGTCGTCGAGAGGAGCACCACCTTCGCTGTCGCTCATATCAATATCATAATCCACGTTATGGTAATGGGTTATGTAGTCAGAGTCTAAGTCGAGATGTGTGGGAGGTGTCCAATAGTCGTTCAAAAAAGGTGGGTGGGCGGAAGTGTCCAAGTCAAGATCAATGCCGTTCTGATGCTCTTGATCTGGGTCGGACTCGGACTCGGACTCGGACTCCGGGGGTTCAGACTCAGAATTATAAGGATCGATATAAGTATTAGAGGAGAGATGGTCGTAATTGTTCTGGTTTGAGAACTCGGTGGCGATTGCAGTGGAAGAGCCGTCAGTCACTATCGCGAAAGTGGGTGTCTTGGTAGCGGAGATGGTATCGTCTTCGGCGGGGAACGCATCTGTCATAGGCGAATCGGCAGTGTGTTCAGAGACGTTATATGATTCCTCTGTGCTGGGTAAGAGGGCTGAACTATATTGCGGCTGGCCACTATGAGGTTGTGAATAGGCGTTGAAGCTATTATAAGAGGCGCTGGTTGTGAGTGAGTCGGCAAGTTGATGATGCTCAGCTTGGAAGCCCTCATCCCGTAAGAGAGCCCCAACGACGTTCAGGGATGAATCAGCAATAGAGGCGGTTGTATTTGAGGCCGGAGAAGGGTTGTCTCGTAGGCGGCTCTTGGACTTATTACGAGCGGAGCGGCGCATCGTGAGGCCAAGATCCAGCTCCGCGACGGAGCGAAGGGGAAAGCCGAAGCTTTTCTACAGTACGGCCCTGCTAGCGAGTCGAGGCAGAGCAGACGGCTTCTGCATACGGGCAAGCTCCAAAAGGGGGGCTGAAGAGGCCAGAGAGGCTTGGGTTCTGGCTCTGACTTGGATTCTGGGTCGCTCGCGTGCTAGAGACGCGCTGGCGGTCTAGCAGATTGGCGATTGCTTGCTTTTGACAGAGAGACAAGAGGCGGAAATGTCTCTGATTTAGGACGCTGCAAGATGGACGATGGAGGGATGGGAGGGGGCGGTCCAGTTTAGAGCGACGGCGAGGGCACAGGCAGTCCGTTTAACAGTGGGAGTGGGTTGCAGATCGTGTTGGACTAGGGCGAAATAGCGCGGTAAGCTGTGGTTGGGACCTTGTTTTGGCGTCAAACGGCTGGTAGTGTCGAGATTGATGGGACGGGGGCTGAACTCGAGGAGCGGGTATCGTGTATTATTGTATTATGGAATGACTATGAATTGTGGTCTATGTCGAGTACAAGTGAGGCGTCATGCTAGCAAGGGTGCGAACGAGGAAACGCCCATATCGGTCAGGGTGCGGCGGGCAGGGGCAGGACCACAGCAGCTGAGATGGACGAGGCAAGTAGAGAAGAGGTCTAAGCAAGGGTTAGTTAGGCTGCGGCGAAGCAAAGTCATGAGTAAGAACGAGCGGTATAAGATCGAACGATTTGTTGTGGAGGGAATGTGGTATTTTTTGGTCGAATGTGAGATACTCGAGGCGAACATGATAAATGATGAAATTCGACAATAGGTACTCCATACTTACCTCGAGGAAAAGGAAACTAGGCTCTCGGTCAGCTAGAAAACCTAAAGTGGCTGCCCGCATTTAGCATTCGGGGACGTAGACAGGGACAAGAGACAGGGGGCAGATCGCTGAAGGCCCCCGGTAATCGCCGTGGGTTAGGTAGGGAATGGAGGTTCCTTGTTTCAGCATAAGCCATGCCGTGTGTATTGGATGCCAGAGAAATACCAGCCTGACGCCTCTTTCGTTTCTGCTGATCGGGCCAAGATTTGGCGGGGATTGATGATGGGTGAAAGCGCAGGGGGGCACATACCGTACAGTGCGTTGGTGGAGATGTGTTGGTGCTAATGCGTTATGAGATGGAGGGGAACGATCCATGGATATGGTATGAGAAGAACGGGGTTTGCTTTGGGAACCGAGAATTGAATGTTGCAAATTCTGTTATAGTTACTTTTTCTTCTCCTTTTTCTACTGTAACCTATGCTAGCATAGGTAGCAAAAAAGGTGTTGATGCGTGTCTAATAAAATATTAACTGACTCGGAGATGGTACTCATTAGTTATTACCAGTAACAAAGGTCGTGCCCTCCTTTGTAAGAAGACGAGAGACAAAATGAATGGGTTAGTCGAGTAGAGGCAATCCCTCCGTACCTTAACCGTGACCTCGTCCTCGTCCTCGTCCTCGCCCTCGCCCTCATTCTCAGCACAGACGGACGCTAGTCAACGATCTGAACGATGGACGGGAGCGGGTGAGCGGGCTGGCGCGCGGTAGCCAGATCATAGAGGAGGGTATTGTCACAGTGACTTGATGACTCTCCTCTATTCATACACAAATCGTGGTACATCGTACACTCTCTGTCTGGAATAATATTGAGGTCCTCAACGCCGAAGCCCTTGTCCTTGCTTTTAGGCTATCACAATATTGTCGTATAATCATGCATACAATATCCTTCTTTGTTAAAACCAAGTTGTGCACCTGTTTCTTTATCCCTGGATGCATACATACATACATAAGAATGCCCGGCTCCCCAGCATTCAAGTTGCCCGATTGAGAGATGGATGCATGCAGACGTGAAGTGCATGGATCTGGGGACCTTGACTAACAGTGACAGGGGCCTTGAATGGGGAATGCAACCCGATCTTCATTCACCCTCGGTTAGGACTTTATCAATGTTTCTTTGTCCTTTTACGTAGTAGTTAGCTGTCGACTTCTCGCTAAATACAAACTATATCAACCATCCGTATACCATCCAATATAGGAACGAGAAACAGGTCTTGTGAACTTGGTATAATACCACTCTTTGTAATAGAATACCCACGGTACGACAACGCATCTGCGACATCTGTCCACACCGAGCGACCTGCAGATCCAACCATTGCGATAGGCAATGCTCCCATATCAGGAGAGTTCTGCTTACACACATCACTCGAACCGACGGTAATAATAGACTACTTATTCCGTCAAGACCACAGCCTGCTTCTCGTACAACCCCAATCTGACCATAGAGAACCTGGAGATTCCATTGTATTCTCGCAAACTTGGCCAGCTTGGATCACTTTGAGATCCTCGCGTAGCACAGCCTACAGCCCTGGTGAAACAGCGTGAGCATACGATGTTCTGTACCACCCCAAATTCACTCACTGCCCAAGGTCAATATCAAATGGACAAATAAATATCTCAGGGGCCTTTTATGCCACGAGGGACGCTACACCCACATAATCATACATGTCAACTATAACCGTACAGTTAGTTGATGTGGAAATAACAAATAGGGCATTACGGACCGACCTCCATGTCTCACACTGAACTAGGCTACTGTATGAAGTCCTTGACCGGTCTGAACTGGCCACTGACCAGTCAGAATACCTAGGAAATAATGAGGCCCTCTGTTGCATGCCTTACAGCTTACTCTGACTGTCTGTCACTGTCTCAAATCACGGACCCTCATGTCGTTTGTTATCTGAGCTAGGTTTAGCTCTATTTGACTTTAGTTGACTGGATGGCCGTTGCAGCAGTGAATGTCACCAGACCAGCTTCCAGATGCAATACATACATATATGCTTGACAACGGGATACTACGCCGTATTACATCTTGAGAACAACTCACTTGCCTACTAAGCTGATAGACAAGCTCACCTCATTGGTATCGGCGCTGTCTCATCTTTTCGTGCCACCCACCAAAACCAAAAACCCCCATTCAATGCATCCCGCCGGCGCGGGATGTACACACGCAATCCCACGAACCTGGAACACAGCAAAGCAAAGTGCTGTAATGCTTTGACGTAGCACACAGAGGCAGAAGGACATACGTGACGCCCTGCTTCTCACCCGAATGATACTGTAGAGTCGCAGGCGGATCTGACCGAGCAGGCATTCGGCTGCCAAGTCTGGCTATGGGTGGGTAGTCTTTTCCTGTCGTGGTTATAGATGCAGGTCAAGTTTTTCTTGCTGAGGATATTTGTGTTCGTCACAGAATTCGAAAAACTCCGAGACTAGGGACGGCAATAAACAATGACTCGTACACCCAGAGTCAAAACTGTACTGTCGACTGTATGGGTGTCAAATCAGTTCTGTTCTCACCGTGGTTATAAGCATGTCTTGCTCTTTTCCCTGCATGGTGGATGTCTCTCTTACAAGACTCCACTATACTTGATCTATCACTAAAAGCATCAAACACCAACAGACTGCGAAGCCCATGCTGCCGCCTTACAATTTCCATGTTCATAACTTGGAGTGTTGTCATGATCACGTCTTCTATTTTCTTTCCAAGCACAAAATTGAGTACAGTACATACTTGCCCAGCACTCCTACGTCCTATCATCGCTTCTTCTCCTCATCACAGCTCAACAACCCAATATTCGTTGGCTGGCACCCAAATTTGATACATCATAAACCATCCCGTGACTCGTTTTAGACGCGCCGCCTCGTTGCTCGTCTCCCTTTAGTCGGCCCTGAAAATTGCTCTTTGTTCGTGCGTTTATTAGCCCACAATCCTCTTCCTCTCTCACCGGCTTCGTGGATCCTCTCTTTTCTTTTTCTAGCAGAAGTGATGTATCATGTTTTGCCCGCTTCCACTCGACGCCATTTTTCACCAGCAAATAAACCGAGCATGGCCTCCACTTGAAATACTTCTGCACTTTTCTTTGGATGGCAGACATGTTCGGTGGCTTGGGCTCTTGTGGTCTGGAGTCGACAATGACATCCATACTGAAGTATATGCTGTAAGCCACCGTGATCTACAGATACTTCAGTGCGTAATATTTTATGACTCAAATGACATGTTCATTCAGCTCTTGGTCTTGCAATGTCGTAGGTCAGCATGCCATAAAACTTGAATATCCTATCCAACTGCCCCTATTCGTCACTCTGAGAAAAAGCAATTTTTGGCAGCTCATCTCATCCCAACTCAAGCCATAACAACCCTCATACCGGGAAGTGGCTTGAAATCAGGAATATCGATTTTTCTTTCCATGAGCCATTGTCATATTACACAACAAGGCAAACAATCCCTTCGACTCGAGGAAAACACGGCTTGTCCGGTTCTCCTTCGCCCGACCTTTGACTGATCGTCATTTCTCATATTCTCTGTGTCTCCTCTTCTCGACATGAAGCTAAAAAGGCTTCTATTGTGGATCTTAGGCTTACACTTGTACAGCCCGATGGATGTCAAGTCTTTTGCGGCCTGTGATATTGGCAATGGGAGATAGGCCATCGAGCTCGATGGCCTATCTCCCATTGCCAATCCTCCCCCCAATCTCGTCGACTGGGCACTCCGAAACATCAGGATGCATGTTGCCGCTCTACTGGCCTCACATCTTGCTTGTCACATCAAACTCCTACCTCTGGCTTGCGACTATGAGTTGATCCCATGGGATCTTGTTCAAGAAGCGTTCTTTTCTCCATTGACCGCTACTTGGCTCTCTGTTTCTGTTTCTTGACTCTACCCCAACGTGCTAATTCCCGTGCCTGTCATCATCTAACATGTCTCATTTCGTTGACTGTAAATTCATATACCCTCTGCTTTTAACCTCACCCTCTCTGTACGTGCCGTTCCTGTCAGTGTCATATCAAACCTATCACATCCCTCTACAGCTTGTTCACAAGTCCTCGCGAAGACTTGAGCTGAACCATCTTCTCAAGAGCTTCGTCAATAGGAACCAGCTCACCCTTGACCTGGGTGGCCTGGTCGTCTCGGTTACGGATGTTGAGAGTGCGTGAGCTGGCCTCCTCGGCACCGACAACTATGTAATCTGGTTAGCAATTGGCCTTCAATAAGGCAGCTTCCATTCCAAACTCACCAAAGATAAAGTTGTACTGCTCCAGCTGACCGGTGCGGATCTTCTTCTGGAAAGTGTTGCTGCTCAGGTCCACATCACTGTACAGCCCCTTTGCCCGGAAAATCTGTTGGACCTCCTTGGCGTAGTCGTTGGCAGCAGGCATGACAGGTACAACCAAGACCTGTCGGGGGCTGAGCCAGAATGGCCACTTGCCGCCAAAGTGCTCAGTCAGAATACCAAACATTCGCTCGAAGCTGCCCAGAACGGCTCGGTGAATCATGACAGGTCGTGCGTATCCGGCAGGGAGATCCTCCTCGGGGTTGCTACCATCACTGACTCCGGTCTCACCCTTGTTGGCGACATATCGGAGCTTGAATCGCCGAGGAAGGTTGAAGTCGAGCTGCATAGTACCGCACTGGTGCTCACGCTTCAGGGCATCGAACAGAGCAATATCGATCTTGGGTCCATAGAAAGCACCATCACCGGGGTTAAACTCCCACTTAGCACCCGTCTTATCGGAGAATGAGTTGAGAGCCTCTTCAAGCTTCTTCTCGGCGGAATCCCAGGTAGCAATGTCACCGACGTACTTCTCGGGTCGGGTGGACAGCTTAAGCTTGAATGTGAAACCGAAGATACCGTAGACACTGCTCAAAAAGTCGAAAGCAGATTCAATTTCCTCTCGGATCTAGAACACGTCAGTAGAAGCATGGGGCAGTTAGTGGAAGTCGTCATACCTGATCCACGGTACAGAAGATGTGAGCATCGTCCTGTTGGAAACGACGGACTCGGGTAAGGCCAGAAAGAGCTCCAGAGAACTCGTTTCGGTGCAAAACACCGAAATCGGCCATCCTCCAGGGGAGGTCCTTATAAGTGACATCGGAGTGGGCAAAGATCTTGCAGTGTCCAGGGCAGTTCATGGGCTTCAGGCCGAACTTCTCTTTCTCAACCTCAAAGGTGAACATGTTCTCCTCGTAGTGGCCCCAATGACCTGATGTCTTCCACAAATCCGCCTTGTACATGTTTGGAGACATGACTTCGTCAAATTCACGTTTTTGGTACTCGCCTTTGATGAGCTCCATTAAGGCATTGTAGATGCGCACACCGTGTGGTAGGAAGAAAGCAGATCCAGGAGATGCCTCATCGAAGAAGAAGAGCTTTTGATCTGTGCCGATCTTTCGGTGGTTGCGCTTGGCAGCCTCGGCCAGGAAATGTTTATACTCTTCAAGAGCCTTCTTGTCGGGGAATGAGATACCAGCGATACGCTGGACAGACTCATTGTTGCTGTCACCAAGCCAGTAGGCCGCGGAGTTCTGTTGAATATCAGCTCAAGCCCGTCACTTCGAGATTAGGAGTCGTATATATCACTTTGACATACCCTGAGAACGGAAAAGGCCTTGATGTTACCAGTGGTGGGGACGTGAGGTCCTCGGCACAGATCGATCAGGGGACCGCATCGGTACACAGTACTCTTGGTGCCGTCGGGAACTCGCTGTTGAATGAAATACTCCTTGTACTTGCTGTACTTGAACATCTCAAGGAGCTCGTCCTTGGTCATTTCCAGACGCTCAAAAGGTTGCTTCTGCTTGACAATGTTGTTGGAGAGCTGCTCAAGGGCCTTCTTATCCTCATCAGTGACGACTTGCCTGGGGCTATGTCAGTAAAACCTCTAGCAAGTTAGTCGAAGCCTGCTACGCACTCTCCCATGTTCGCCATATCGTAGTAGAATCCAGGGGGGTCCTCAGTAGGGGGACCGTTGCACAGATAACATCCAAAGCGTTTCTCGGCGGCCTCTCCAAGAATATGGGCAGAAGAGTGCCAGAAGACCTTCTTGCCTTCGGTGTGTTCAAAGTCGAGGAGCTCGAGCTTGCAGCTCTTCTCGAGGGGTCGGGTCAGATCCCACAACTCACCATCAACTCTAGAGATGACAGTGCGCTCGAAAAGAGACTTAGAGATGCCCTTAGCGATAGCGCCAGGGGTGGTCTCCCATGAAGTTCCCTTCTCCTCCTTGCCATTGGGAAGTGAGATGGTAATTTCCTCGCGGGGTTTGGCTATGATTATTGTCAGTCGATTCGGGTCGAAGGACGAAAGCGCGGGGAGGATTGGATCACCCACCAGCGATTTCGGCGTCCTGTCGGGCCTTGATCTTGTCGAAGAGATCGAGTCGGTGCTGGATGAACTCGGGAGTCTCAGGGAGCTATCATAAACAGTTAGCAGGTTCAAGATAGTGACATGGTGCCATACAATGCATCGTCATATGCACCGCAGTCAAGGAAGGGACACAAACCTCGAGGCCAGCAGACTTTCCACCCTTGGCAGACTTATCCTTGGGCTGCTTCTCCTTAGGCTGCTTAGCAGGGCGAGAAGGCAAGCTCTTCTCAGACGCGCCTTCGGCCGCCTTGGCAGCATCAGCTTGATCGGACGACATGTTGAGAACTCTCGCGCAGATGTTGAAGATTTGGTGGGAGAAGTTGGGTCTTGAAAGTGGTCTTGTACTGTCGATGGCGGGGCACAAGGGGCATTAAACACGAAGGTGGGGTTAGAATTGAGTCACTGCGATTTTGGCAGGGGCACGGGAATAGTGCCGAATGGTTAGGCACTTTAGTATCGTAAGGTAGGTATAGCCTTTGAAACTTGCCTTAATATCAAATAGGATGCCATTGATCTATCACCTATCCAGTCTCAATTTAAAACATGTACTTCCTCTATCTTGGCATGTCTCAATAAATTTGCTCCCTATTAAACAATAGTCATATGCCGGAAACCAAGAATCAGTCTCTTGTTGTCCCCTTCAGCTCACTCACACGACACTCAGGCCATAGAGTCAGACCGAACAATATATCACCACGCAAGGAAACTCATGATAAACAATGCAGAAGGACTCAGTCCAACTCCGGAATTGCAGGTTTTGACTCACTCACAATAATCATCTCGTCCTAGGTAAATCAGGGGTATCAGACTATTTTCCAACCCAGCCATCCGTAACGCCATGCCATACCGTTTACATGCCATAAATCATGCGAAAAGCGCGCCCATAAACAAGAACGGAATCAAACAGAATTCAAAGTCCATAGCGTGTGACACACTCTTCCTTATGCGCCTCCAAGCAATCCAGTGCGCAGACTCTTGTTCCGCACTTCATACATCTCACACGTCCCCAGTACCCGCAGACCTCACAGAACGATCTAACGGGGTACTTGTTGTCTCGGTGGCCCGTTACTTCACCATAGTTTAAGGGAGGGTATGAAAGAAGCTTGCGCAGCTCCTCATCGGATGGCATATCGGGAACACGCGACATAAGTAAAGGATCGTTGTCACCAGGGTGACTCGGTGGTAAAGGTCTCAATGACTCGGGAAGAACAGGCGGAACGTCGACGTCGGCCATCGTTGTGTCTTCTTCTTGCGCTGGTTTGGAGGATGAGGGAGTATCTCTTCGACTATTCGATGGTCGTTTGTTGTTTGCGCCGGAGGCAGTGGATCGAGAACTCGCAGTGTTGGACTCTGCAAGTGCCTGCATCGCGAGGAAATCATCTAAGTGATTTCCGAATGTCTTTTGCGATTGTAAAATCTTACGAACATTAGGTGTGTGTTTTCCTTGCGCTGCCAGAAGTCAGTCTCTCGTCTTTCACGTAATCCTGAGGTCTCGCGCATACTTCTTCCACTCTTGACTGGCAACGGTATTGTGTTATCCTTTCCGCCATCCTTATCCAAAGCCTCGGCTTCCTTTCGAACTTTATTATCTTGTCGAGCGGTCAAATCGCTATATGTAAGACCAGGAACATTCCTGGCGCGCTTCCTGTTGGTTGGTGCTGTAGGGCGACTGATTGTATTGTCGGGGACATAAGCCCAGCCTGGCGCTGAGGTTGTCTTTGCGCTGGCGAGCTCAATGACCCCAAAATTGTTCATTGTCGTCTATAATTCAGGATCATGAGAAGAAGAACATGACAAAGGGAGAGTATCGAGGACCTAGAAAATCCACACTGGACCGCTGGTGTCGTGACGTAGCCAATCACGAGCCAGAAAGCTCGTACAGCACACTCCAACTCCTGCCGAGCTCAGAATATTCCGAGCACCCGGCTCCGATAGTAGCTCTGTCGTAACTGTACCTCTGACGTCCATCGCCATCGATATCTATTGCCCTCACGAGATAAACACCGCACAACCCGACGTCCACCACCGAAATCGCAACATGTCTTTCGCCTCAAGAATCCTTTCCTCCAGCAGCCGCGCGCTCGCTACCCGATCCTTCAGCACCTCTGCCCGACGAATGGCCGATTCGCCTCTTCCTGCCAGGAAACCTCTGGGAGCTTTCCGTGGAGGGTTAGTGATGATAGAAACAGCTTTTTGACGGAAATAATGTTGTTGACTTTGTTGTCAGTCTTTTCGGCTTCCTTCTCGGTAGCTTCCTGTCCGGCAGCGCGGCCTACAGCTATCTCCTCAAGGAGTACAAGACCGCCAACGACCTGTTGACCGAGGATATCTATGTACGTAACGAAGGAGATGAGGCAACTGATAAGGGACAACCTCATCTAATTGTCCTCATATTTCAATCGCTTGTCCAGGTGCTAACATTATTCGGCCAGACTCTCCAAGCCTCCGTCACCCGTCTGAGCAACTACGTCCAGGCTCTCGAGACCAGGACACAGGGCAAGAAATAAACGGAAAACACGGGACAAAGAGGCATAATTGTTTAAAATAGTCGGAACTGGGAGGCAGAATGAGCTCCTTCGGCTCTCTGCTGGACGTGTTGAAATGAGGATGGCTCCCATTGCATTTCCTATCAGTATTTGGGTATGAAATTGTCATGGCAGGCGATTGAGGAGATTTGTACGATCATGTGCTACGTTGCGAGCATTACTGCAAGCCCAATTCATAAGATATCATGCGGTCTGTGTAAGAGAAACATTGAAGTCTCGGTGAAGCTGAGACAGATATCAATATAGTAGTCAAGTCATGAAATGGTCCCATTGCCACAGAAACTAAAACCTAGAGAGGTGCGATCAAATGTGAGCACCCAAAAAAACCCGCGCCCAAAAAAAATCAGATACACCCCATTTTGTATACTATTGTTGACATCAATTCTTTACAGCTCATCATGGACATCCTCCTCCTCCTCGGCCTCCTTCTTCTCCTCCTTCTTCTCCTCACTGGCGGCGGGGGCAGCCTCCTCAGTGCCCTCCTCCTTGACGGGGAGCTCGGCCTTGTACTTGCCGTTCTCCTTGATGAAGTTGGCGAGGTCCTCGACGGTGCGAGAGCCCTGGTAGGTGATGGGAGCGTCCTTAGCACCAGCGGGGAAGAGCTTGATGGTGGGGAATCCCTGAATCTCGTCGGGGACATCGTTCAGGGTAGCGTCGACCTTGGCGATGACGACCTTGTCCTTGAACTCGGAAGCGGCGAACTGAGAAGCAAGGTCATCGTACTTGGGGGCAAGAGCCTTGCAGTGACCGCACCAGGGAGCGTAGAACTCAATCAGGACATCCTTGGTGTCATCGAGGACAATGTCATTGTAGCTCTTGGCGACTACAACAGTGACGGGACCCTCCTGGGTCTCGGGGATGGGCTCAGACTTGATGCTAGGCTCAATCTTGCCAGCGGCGAAGTCCTCAACGAACTTGGCAATGTTGTCATGTGTGATCTCCTTCTCCTGGTCGAAGGGGAACTTCTGGTTCTTGACAACCTCCTGGATGGCGAAAGAGGGGAACTTGTCAGTCTTGAGGTTCAAGTTACCGGCGTGAGCGCCGAAGGACTTGGCGTCAATTGTGGCAAAGTTGATCTTGCCCTTGAACTTCTCAGCGATGGGCTTGAGGGCATCGCCAAGCTCCTTGCGCTCCTCAGGAGTCTCAGAGAAGATGTATGCGAGGGGAATGCCAGCGGACATGTAGCCGGCGTAGGTCTCAGGGCCAACCTCTCCAATGAGAGGGGTGGCAGAGGTGGTAATGAAGGAGGCAATGGCATCCTTCTCGAACTTCTCGGTGAAGGTGTTCTTGCCCTCATCGAAAGCCTTGTAGACAACCAGGGCGGGGGCCTTGACGCCCTCAGCCTCGGCAACAGCAGCGTCGTTGACGCCACCGAAGAGGTAGGTATCGCGGAGACCCTCAGCAAGCTTGGAGAAGGTCTCGTTGGAGCTCTTATCGTCGGCGTTGAGGTAGGCGACGACAACAACCTTGTCGGCGGTCTTGAACTCCTCGAGGGTGTCCTTTGTGAGAATGGAGACAGCGGGGAGGGACTGCTTGATCATGTAGGAAGTGATACTGGAAATTTTGTCAGTCGAAATCTCAGCTGATCATGACAAGTGTCGACTTACCCAGCAGCCTTGCGCTGGCCAGAGTAGGGAGTGACATTATCGAGGCCACGGAAGACCTTGAGGGTGGGGTAACCCTCGACGCCCTGGTCTCTACAGAGGTCGGACTCCTCAGTGCAGTCAATCTTGGCGAGCTTGATGTTCTTCTCCTTGAGGGTCGTAGCGGCCTCCTCATACTCGGGGGCGAGGGCCTTGCAGTGGCCACACCAGGGAGCAAAGACTGTAGAAAGACACTGTTAACAGCTGATGGAGGGGAAGAGAGGAGTCAATGGAGTCTTACACTCAGCGAGGACGAGATCGTTGGCCTTGACGAACTCCTCGAAGTTGTCCTTGGTCAGCTGGTGAACGTCTGAGTCGGCAGCAGAGGCATAGGCAGCCAGAGCAGCCATGAAGCTGCAAGCGATCTTCTTGTGGTGCATGATGGGCTGTCTTTTTGTTGGGGTATCCTATAAAACACAAAGAGAGGGTTTCGCTGAACAGGACAGGACAGACAAGATAAAAGAAGGAGGAGGAAGAAGATTTGAGTTGGGAAGTGGAGGGAAGATGGAGGAGAGTTTTGTAGTTGGAGCTTGAGGACAGGTAACGTACATCAACATCCACATCCACAGCCGCCGCATGTACCGTACTGTAGAGAAAGCTACGGGAGGGTACAATCGTTCGAGAGAGGTTGGAGCCAACTAACAGCAGTCAACCCCACTCGGAGACAACTCCCGCTAAGTCTTGCGCGGGTCAAAGGCGGAGGGGTGAGGGATTGCCCGGGGGGTCCAACTTTCAATTGAACAAGTGTCCCTTTTGTTTGGTGGCACTGGACTTTCTATCGATGATCAAGCACAAGCCCAGAGCCCATACCGCCGGAGCACTCTGCAGACAGGCACGGCCCCTCCAAAGCGGCGGAAAGCTAGTGGGCTTTCTTACCGGGCTCTAAGCTCTTTTAGGCCGTAGTGATGGTCCAGCGCTGCTTGTCATTGGGCGAAGCTGCCCTACAGGAAGCGCCAAAGCCCCTCAGCTGCTGTAGGGTCCCTGGGCCCACAGGGGCAGGACAACCCGCCGCTGAACTGCTTATGGATCATGGATCGTCAAGGAATGAGAGGGCATTAAGGCATTGAGGCATTGGATGTTGGTTCAATGTGATACAAATCTTTATAATTAGTTGAAGGATCGTATTCGAAACAGACTAGACATTTCACAATGAGAAAGTAGCTTTTCTTTGATTTACCATTGTTTGTTACTGTTTATGTTGGACTATCACCTACACCACATTCCCACGAAACTCTGATGATGACGGATTAGGGAAGTGCAAAGACAATTGCCCAATTAAGCTGCAATAAATACGGGATTTGATGCTCCGAAAGGCTCTAAACCCCTGGCTAAATGAGATGACATTTGGAGTAATAATTACAGATCAACATCTGTTCAATGTGGCAACACCTTCGTCTCATGCCAAAAGGCCACGTCTCTGTGACAGCCTAGGTACATACACAGCCCAGCCTTGCCAATGTTGAACGTGACATGGAGGGGCTGTTCACGGTGTGCCGTAGTTAAAATTAGAGGAATGGCACCCATTATCTGCTTATTGATCGATATTCTTTTCCACGAATTACTAATCCAGCCTCTAAACCATATTTTGGGCCTAACTTTCTTGTCGCCTCAGACCAATCCTGATGGTTGTAACGCTCCAAGTTCTTAGGACTCGGGGGACCTCATTCATGCCATTCACCTTCTGAATCCACCCAAACCCTCCGCGAAATTAAACAACCAATGCTAAGTCCAGCTAGCCAGCCTATATGTAGTTGAGTCAAACATTGGAAAGTGGCAATATGTGATTCCCGTGAGAAACAAAGACGTGTCACAGGAATGAGGCGAAACATGATCCCGCTTTACTCAGCTCATCGGCCCCACGGGACGGTCAGTTTACGGCCCCACCATAATATTTCCGCCGTCACCTATAAGACAGCAAAGTACATACCAGATAGTATTCGTACCCAACTTTGTTCAATACAGAATTATCAGCTTCTGAGGTGAAGGTGACAATAAGCCAATACATGGATACCGCTGATATGGGTCTTCAGTCCTAAGCCAAGAAAAGTTCAAAGAGGTTCCCAGCTTTCAAAGTCGTAATCATGCTGAATTTAATGCTATCTATGGCTTGACAATGCTCCGTATATCATTATATCCGTCTCCTACTCATTTACTTGCTATGAGGTCCCCGAGGTTTAGGTGGTGCTCGGTGATACTGGATTGGCCACTTGACATCAACATCCAGCTGATGAGCAGCGCTGAGAACAAAGTCGGGTTCCCTGAGGAACTGTCTTGCAGCAAGCACAAGATCAGCCTTAGGATCCTCATTCTCCTGGACAAGCGAGCGAGCAAAAGGACCATCTGTAATGTAACCAACAGTTCCAATCAGGAGCTCTTTTCCATCAGCACGAACGGCATCGCGGATCTTGCCTGCCAGGTCGGTCTGGACGGTTTGATGGACCTTGATCTTTTGCGCCTTCAAGTTGCCTCCGCTACTGATATCGAGAACATCAACCCCTGCGGCAGGAAGTTGTTTTGCGAGCTGAATACTGCTCTCGAGATCCCAGGAAGGCTCGTCATTCCATTCCATCCACTCGGTAGCCGAAATCCGCACCCAGACGGGCAATTCCTCAGGAACAACAGCTCGAACAGCTTCAATGATCTCAAAGAGGAGACGAGTACGGTTCTCAAAGCTACCTCCGTACTGGTCTGTTCGTTTCTGACATCATGTCAGTTGATGAACTATTCTCGGTGAGTATGAAATACTACTTACATTGGAGAGAGGCGAGAGGAACTGGTGTAAGAGGTAACCGTGAGCTGCGTGGATTTCAATGACATCGAAACCAGCCTTGGCGGCTCGTACAGCCGAGTCCTGCCATTTCTGCACAAGATCCTTGATCTCCTCGGTCCTCAACTCGTGAGGTGTACCAAAGTCTTCAGCGAACGGGATAGCACTGGGGGCGACAATATCATCTGGCCAGCCGCCGACTTCTTTGGTAGCAAGTGCTTTGTTTACAGTACCGCCGATCCAAGGCGCAACTGTGCTCGCTTTTCTGCCAGCCTGAAGTATATGTTAGTCCAGGAATGTTGAGACTTTTTCTGAAATAATGAACCTACATGAGCGAGTTGAATGGCAGCCTTGGTGTTTTGGCTGTGGATGAAGTCCGTGATACGCTTCAGAGGGACAATTTGGCTATCCTCCCAGAGACCAGAGTCCTCAGGACTGATCCGACCACGGGGTTCAACAGCAGTGGCCTCAACAAAGACGAGACCAGCACCTTGAAGAGCGAACTGGCCAAGGTGAACAAGATGAAAATCTGTTAGGTGACCATCCTTGGCGGAGTAAGTACACATAGGAGAAACGACAAAGCGGTTCTGCAGCTCAACGCCACGAGTGCGGAGAGGCTTGAAGAGCGTTGGGGCCGAATCGGTCTTGAGCGGGGTTCCGGCCGGGGGCTCTTGGGCCGGGGTGAAGTAAGGAACCCCGGAGGCTGCCTTGTTCTCGATATTTGCGCTGCCCATGGTCGTACGTGACCTCGAAGTAAGTTTTGTGTTGTCTAGGTTGAAGAGTTGTCGATGTTGTGAGTATTTATGCTAAAGTCGGGTTGGTTTAAGGCTCTTGGCGGTTACAGAATCCTGCGCCGTGTTGATGCAATTCCACTGAGTTCCAAGTATCCACCAAATCAACTGAGAATGGTTGCAGGATACAAAGGCTCAATTCTGAGGGATTGTTGTCTTTATATCTAGGTAGAGCGTGGGAAGACATGGTATTTATATCACTAACACTAACTGTCTTCCAATTTGATCCATTGACACCTCGATGGCGATCTCGCTTCATGCCTAGCTCTCTACCATCAAGACGGTCATAGTTTGCTCAGCTAAGCGAACAATGACGTGCGAACAGAAAATTCCAACCTTACTAAAGGTATTGCAACCATTATCGATCCGTTATTCAACTCTGGCATCCAGGAATCGTTTCCCTCTCGGGTTCCTAGTGTCCGATTTGCGAGCAAACGCTGAATAATCAAAAGAGTTAAGCCGGGCCCCCTCTTCTACGCCTTCGGCTGATAACGTTATCATTCCAAGGCCAAGCATTCAACTCTCAGATAGCACATTTACAAGGCAGTTCTGGTTAACTCATGTTCCTTCACAGTTGAACTTGGTCTCGATATCGAGGGCAAAGAATAAAAAGCTGCCCGAATCAAATAAGTCGGGGTGACTCGTCCTATATTAGACTTGCCACTATAAGTAAATGTCTTGATCTCTTGGTTTTACAATTCTATACTTCAATTTCAGTGCAAGAACTTGCTCTCACTGATACATGTATCGTACAATATTCATAATTAAGTTTTCATTTTAATCACCTATTTATTCCTCCTCTCGAGACAGACACCTCCGAGTGTCTGCATTTTGACTTCAAGTATATATGAAGGAGAACATACATAACATACCTCATGGGCATAGCCAAGTAGCTCAATGTTATGGCACCTTATATATGTTTTGTTTCACAGTTTTGGTACAATCACCAAAAAAAGATCAGCAACGCTACTTCGAAAACAGCCTGGACAAAGCCAAAATGCCTGGTGTGGCAGACGCAGGAACAAGCCCAATGATCATCAGACCCTTGAACAAGGCGCCGTCATGAAGCGTCATGGTTACAGTTGCGGCCCGGACCGATCTCACTCAAACGACACACAGTGTTACACATTAAAGCAGAACTCAAGACACAACATTTAAAAAGTATGAAATTTCTTCTTCCTTTTGGTCTCTACCGTATAAGACGGTAGACATCTTAGTCTATTGGCACGCTCATGTTGTCAAAACTCATGACATGGTCTATACCTAGGCTGGCGATCTAAACCAGCACCCAATGATTACAACCAAAACTCCGGATATCGCTCTTCTTCAAGTTCATCAATAAAATGATGACCAAATTCAGTTCTCGCATAATTCCTACAAAGGCATCTCAAGCAGCTCTCTGTCTTGTTTTGATAACTTATTCCTGGTTTGTGGGCTTAAAGGTCCAGCGCTGGTTCTCAGTACCCTGGGCGAAAGGAACACCGAGCTCAAATAGTCGGAGAACGACGTCGGAAAAGTCCTTGAAGAAGGCATCGTTGTCCTTGGCGTACTTCTCGACCCAAGGCTTGAACTTCTTGTCCTCGATCAGGGCAATGTCACTAGGAAGCATCATCAGAGACTTGGTAGACTTGTCCTCGTACTGGGCAGGGCCGTTCCACTTCTTCCACTGCCACTTCTCCTCGACAAGGAGACGGAAGTAGTCGTTGGTCAGGACGGTGGGGGAGAAAGTCCAGGGACCCTCGTAGCCGGATCGGTCGGTGTGGCAGCGGCCGAGAGCGTGGGCGCCGGAGAGAGCAACAATCTCCTGGTCGTTGAAGCCCATACGGTAGAAGATGTCTCGGAGATGTCCAGAGCGCTTGGAGGCGTCGGGAAGACGTCCGTCAGGTGTACAACCAGAGACATCACGGTCAGAGCGACCGGGTCGGTAAGGAATGGCAGGGCCTAACATCTCCTGGATAGCGCAAACGCCAGCGAGGATCCAGAGATCAGAGTAGGTGATCCAAGGGAACTTCTCCTTTACGGGCTCGAGGAAGTTACGGGCAGCAGCCAGACCAGCATTGGCGCCGTGGTCAGCCTCAGGGGCGAATCGCATGGTGGCACCGTTGCTGCCACCAGTGCCAGTCTCCTTGTCGTAGGTACCGCTGGCGTGCCAAGCGAGACGGACGAGAACGGGACCGTAGCTACCATCATCATAGTCGTCCTTCTCCTCCAGGCGAGCAGCAATCTCGTTGTAAACCTTCTGATAGTCGTCCTTGGTGGGGTTGAAAACCTTAGGAGTAGCGGAAGAAGCACCGTTGGCATAGAAGTAGTAACCAGCGCCACCAGCGACAGCGGCACCGGTCAACCACACCCAGGCGGAAGATGACTTCTGTGCGGGCTCAGAAGAGTAGTATCGGCGACCCTGTTGGCGGATAACCTGTCTAGGAGCAATGGCGAAGCCGTTGCGAGTGGCACGAGTAGCCGCACGGGCAAACTGTCGGGTAGCGGAGGCCATCTGTGAAGCGCAAGCGTTAGTTACAAGTTGAGAAGACGAAGGGTATGTGTGCTTTTTGTCGAGGTTGCCGAGGTGAAAAAAGCTTGTCCCTTGTAGTGCTATGATTTCAACGTACCTTGAATGTATAATATTACAAAGTGGTAAGACGCTTTGGCAGTGTGACTTCAAGGAAGTATAAAGAGAGAATGAAAGAGGAAGAAGTAAGATTCGAGACGAGAAGGTACAGTGGCATCTATTAAGGGATGCGTCGGTCGAAGTGGCGGGAAGCCGAGGGCGAAACGGGGACCTGCCGTGTCAGTGCCAGGAAGTCAGGCAGTCCCGACCCTATAACCTCCGCCGGGACACGATTCATGGAAGGTTGCCGAACGGGGCAGGCAACTTCTATCTCAAGCCCAAGCCCTTTCCATTTCCGTGCCGGAGTGTTTCGATCTTTGACTTGTACATGATCCGAGATCGGGAGGACCATGATATAGAATTGCTGTTATTCACTGAGGTACTGGTCTGAAGAACTCTTCGTTCAGATATCACTACCATCAATGTACCACAAATTGATTCCTAACATCAGCTCAACTTCCCCAGGTACTCTCGCCTCGGAGCTGTACCCGGCTTCATGAACCGGCGCGATGCCTTGAAATTGAACATCAACAATTGGCTAGTTTGATATCTCAGCCCCATTTCTTTTCTCAAACCTGGCGGGGGATGACGCCCTTATGGATCGGGTGGAGTCGGTGGAGATCCTTGGTAATGAAGATTCTCTCGCCTCTGAGAGGTTGCTAATGCTGAGGCCTGTCGAAGGACAGCAGGGGTCATTCATTGAACATTCAGTGTTATGCCCGCCTACGATCTAGCAACACTTCAACATGAGGCTCATGGGACGAGTCGTTCAAAAACGGTTTCCATGTGTCAAGCCAAAAAGGGAAGACCCTCTCGGCTGTGAACCACGAGGCGACCAACCATTAGAGTTCAGCTAGTCGAATTTGGAGAGACAAGAGAAAAATTCTGATGGATTGGGACCGTGAAAGTAACCCTCCATTACAGAATTTCAACGCCTCATCAGCTAACGCACGGGGATCATCAGTCAGCAGTGGGCGGCGTGGCACCCGAACCGAAACGGGCGTCGGTCTCCGATTGTTTCACGGCAATTATGGCACAGAAGATCGGATCAGAATCGTTATGATACAATACCTTTGATTGGATTGTTCTCTTTGAATGAAATCTTTGACATCGAAAGAAGATTTGTCATATGTTGCTTTTCGTAAATAGATACAAGAGCAACAAGACCCTGCACAAGCGGGTACTTATGGAATCTTTTCTCGGCAACAGGGGTCTACCCCAAAGATTCCAAATCGCTTGTCTCGCATGTGATTTCGTCATATCAGCAAATTACAACCTATTCTGAACTCTTTTGCCTAACACTCACCTTTAAAGCTACAGTCATGTTCTCCTACAACAACGCATCTCTGATCACACGAATACGCCTCCTTTTGACCCTTGCCCTGCTGCCCAAGAAATTATCTGCAAACTCCTATGTTTCTCGTCTCCCCAGATTTACATACCTAGATACCTAGCCACGATCGTAACCCTAATCGAATGATTGAACATCCCGAATCCTGGAGAGAAACTCTCTCCGACAATCCTCCAGTGGGGACGGAACATTTCGATGAAGTCGTCGGCGAGTGTTGCCAGTGGCTTCCTCTAATAAGAAACTAATGCAAGTGCTCGTTACCCCACAAGATCTGGACCGGACACCAGTTTGATGTCCCACTCATCAACAGCTTCATCTCAAGGTTATATATAGATTTCGTCTACAACTTGTGATGTGTCGTCAAGAACAATTCTCTGTCCGTCAAATTAAGGCCACTTCCAACTTTCAAGACTCAGCAATATGCTCAAGAGCCGTACCTTATCCTCCAGGTTCATCCAAGCCACATCTGCTATTGTATATATGTGCAGGGGCGCCGTTTCGTTTATAGTACAACTCGAGTGCCCCACACTTGATTAAGTCCTCCTGGATATCAGCGCCTCGAACACCTTTCACCTCCAGTTTAGTTCAGTCCATCATTTTTTCATCCTCAGTTGAAGTCTGCGTTGCCCTGCGCGTCAGCGTCTGGCTCCCCATGTGTCTCGTAGAAGTGAGAGTATTGGGCCTCGGCCCTCTGCTTGCTCGCCTCGTCCAGCTCTCCCTTTGCAGCCCCATTCTCCTTGCCGCTGCCCGTAGAGAGTTTCACTACCGATGATGGCCTTTAAATTGTTAGCTAGTATTCGACCGTATCGCAGAGCATATAAACTTACCCAAAGATTTCTCTATCGATTTGCAAGAATACCTTCATAGCATCCTTGTCACCTCTCTCGACCAAGTACGTGAGATATACTTGGGTCAAGTCCTTCTTGACTGATGGGGAGAGTCGGCTTCGTTCTCGAAGCTCGTCGAATACTTTCTTCATGCGCTCGCCGTGTTGGGCTTCATTCTCGGCGCTCGTTGGCTGATCCAGCTCAAATTTGAACCATCGATCCCAGAATAACCTGCTGTCCGCGCACCACTGTACATTCTTGACGAAAACCCCACGAGCCTCTTCCACAGAACCCTTGACTTTCCAGAGCAACAGAGCCCATTCTGCGACCAAAGCAGTCTTAGTGTACACGTCTACCGTGGCAGAGTCGATCTGGTTCTTAAACACCTGAATAGCAGCGTCAAGGCCGTTCTGTCGTCGCTGAACATTGGCCCATGACACAATGACCTCGACGCAGTCTGGTAGCCTCAGAAGGATTGCCTCATGGATGTCGAGAGCAACATCAACTCGGCCAGCACTCTCTTCGAAGTAAGCCCATTGCAGTCTGATGCCTGGTCGACTAACAGGCACGAACATCGTCGAAGCACGCGCATAGATGTTGCGAACTTCCTCTTGCTTGCCTTCCTGGCCACTCATCCACCGGGCATATCGGAACCAGAGGTCGTCGTAATAAGCGCATGTGACAAGGCATCGCTCATACAAAGCAACGGTTCTTGTAAAATCGCCTTCAGCTTCCTCGAAATCCAGGTATTTGCGCCAGTTTACCAAATCCTTGTGTTCCAAAGCAGTAACGTGAAAGTAGGGTCTTTTAATCTCCGATTCGTAGGTCCATCGCTTCGATACCTCGGTTTGTGTCGCGGTGAAGATTTCGTAGTACATGGCATCGATCTTTGCACGAACATCGCGCTCAATCTCCAATTCGGCTTTAGGACCGCCGCCATAAGCAATTGTTTCAGCCTCGACCTCGGCCCTGAAACGCGAAAGATCCTCGGCAGACACCACATCTGTAATGGGTTGATTGTGTGATAGCGATCGAAACCTCTCGTAGTAACGTGCATACTGGTGCATTGGTATGCGAATGATTCGTGCATGGATTGCGTAAATCTTGTCCTGTGCTTCCTGACGCTCTTCGTACTCAATGTACTTGTCCCAGAAAGGGTGGGCAAGAAAATCGAGTCCGACAAAGGCTGATCCTCGCTCAAAGAGTCTAGAGAAAAGGGTTAGCAGGTGAGCTCATTGCGGAAGGGATAACTCAGGGGAAAGGGTGGAGAGGATTAATACAGAGGGGAAGATGGTTGTGCGAGTGAGTAGCAAAACCGATATCATGTTCTACCGAGCGGGTGCGGGTGACGTGTAACGCAGGGACGACTTTGGAGTTTAGAACGAGCACGGATTGAGCATCAACAGAGCCTGGCAGGGAGCGTGAGAAAGCGTCCCGGCTAAAGGGGCTATCGCAGGCATATCTCACCATCAGACACTTTGATAGTAGAGTGTAGAGCCCTCGCGGATATGTCGACCGAGACCACTCAGGTCAAGCGGGAATACTGCGCCAGAAGGCATGTTAAGGGAAGGGGAAGGAAACCATCCAAATGGAACTTACTCTCTGACGAGGTGTGGGTCATGGGTTGTCTCCATCTTGAAGGAGCAGTAGTCCGTCCACAAGTCGACAGAATTGGTGATGCTTGCGCATCCTCTCTCGTATACCTGTAACATTATGTCAGCCGCGTCGCAGGCAACCTCTGGAGTGTACCGACCATCTCAGCAGACTCGGGGCCGGCAATGTTGAACTCCATGTCGGCATACTTCTTCCAATAGCCAAAGAGGAGAGGAAACTTGATGAGGAATCTGTCGTAGGCATCGCGGAAGGTTGCTAGTGCTTGAGGACTTGAGTTGCGGTTCAAGCCACCCTCCAATGTCTCACAAGCTTTGATGAGGTTTTCCCAGTGCTCGAAGTTATCGGGGTCAGACTCCTGTTATTTCGCCAAGCCATCAGTGATCAAGTTAAGATTTATGAAAGAATACAGGTGAAAGCTTACCACCTCAGCATTGTGCTTGCGCACAGTTGCGTACTCCTCATCGGAACCGAAATGACCGAAGTCGCTCATGACGTTAGAGTAATTAGTGTTTCGTCTTCCAGAGTCGCGCAATTTAATTGATATTAGGAAATTAGCGATGAATATTCGATTTCGCGGTGCGGGTTTGAAGTCGAGAAGTTTGTAGATAGGAGATGACGCTTGAGGCTCGTCTGTCGCGAAAGGCAGGGGCTGGTAGTTCGCGCCGCAGACAAGCTCTTTTTTTTTCAGGTACTTCCTGAGTTAGTCATTAGGTAACGAACTTTCGATGCACGTGCTCATGTCAAGACGCGCAAAATAGTCCTAGATTGGTGCTACCAGGGAATTTGATGCAAGTAGGTCTGTACTTGTCTAGCAAGTCTCCGCAATTGACATGGGTCTTTCAGATTCAGCCCGGGCCAACAATTTGCCGTTCTCAGGATGACTCAGCATCAACGAAAGCTTGCAGATATTTCTGGCGAAGCGGTGCAGGAGAAGATTTCTTCTTTTTTCTATATCCTAAAATGGGCTTATGATGATTCTCACATAAACATATGATAGGAAGAGAATGAACGCTCTCTCTTAGAGAGCATGATCTCAATTTCGAATCTGAAGCTCTGTTATTCTTTTGTTTGTATTTTTTTGCGACGGTCTCCGATTCTCGACAACATCATCTATAATCTGGTGTCTCATGACAAGATCACACATTACGGATTTTGCGCATGCCTTGGGAGCCACCTGTTTCTTTCAGATATCTCACATCTTTATGTTATTATATTGCAATATCACCGAGCTGGGCTGTCCGTTTGGAAGTGTTCCTGTCTTGGTGTCTTTCGAATCTTGCTTGGTAACTGTTCTCTCCAAGCCAAACCAAACAGTTGGGTATCTGCCTTCTATAGTCCGGGCAACATCCGTGGTAGAGTATCGTAACCTGATCTGATGTTTTATTACGACCATATGACTTGCCGCAGGTGGATATTTTATTTTAACATTGATATCAAAATACGAGTATCTTTCGTAGTTTGGAGGTACTATGAGCCT